ACTTCAGCCAACTGCCTAGCTTTTACTTTGGCCATGTGGGCTGCCTTTGGGTCGCTCTTGGGCACGCGATCGCTCGTGGCAAAATGCACACTGTACTTGCGCTCACGCTTGACCATCTTGCAGTGTTCCCCGCGAGCAGGGATTGTGCGAATTTCAGGTTTCATAACGAATGTAGTTCTTCGGACAGACGACTTAGACCTCTTTCTTGCTGGAGGAAGACAGGACTTCCTGAGACATGACCGTCCGGGCACACCAGTCGCAAGACATGCAAACCGATTGCTCAGGCAAATGGCAGCCTTCTTGGTGTCTCCTTTTGCCTTTGGCTTTGGGGAGTCCTTTCTAGGCTTCGTTTTCGGAGCCGGTGCTGCCTTTTCTCCATGTTTGAAAAAGCACTTGTCTCCTCTTCTGCATGTACCTTGTTGATCGTACCTGCATGGGGTCTTCGCCATCTCTTCCTTAGTCATCCGCTTCTTCTCCTTATCTGTGCTTTTGTCCCTCGACTCATTCCGCTCCCGGGATGGTTGGCGCTTCTTGGAAGGATCACGCTTGGGCTTTTCATGCTTGAACTTGCAATCTTTCCCTTTTGCACACTTTCCCTCCAAAAAGGCCCAACAAACACCCTTCTCCCGAGTAGTGGATCGTCCGCGCGATGGCGAACGCTTTCGCCGAGGATCAACAGTAGGGGCGGCGTTCTTCTCATGTCGATCACCTGGCTTGAGCCGATTTCGCTCCGCGATACGTGATCGATTCTCACGAAGGCGTTCCCGATCTATCAGATCCTTGATGCTCTGCAGTAGAAACTTGTAAGACCGATGATGGTCACCTTCTTTTGCACGATCGAAAAGGTCAATGTCGTACCTTAGGATTGTGCTAGTGCGGATCTGCCTTAGAAGGATGTCTCGAAGCACGTTTTCGTGCGGTGGTTCGGGCATACCAGCGATGGTAGCGTCCCAGCGGTTGATGAAACGCTTCAAGTCCGCTACAGTATCGCCTACCTTTACCACATTGAGGAGATCTTCAACCCTGTAAAGGCTACCCGCTTCTTCCGAGGTCTTGAAATAGTCGTCGAACATGAGAAGAATCATCCTACCTCGAACCTGGATGCCTAGCTTTGCCTTCTCTTCTTTGTAATTGATGATTCGGTTTGCTAGATCACCCTTTGCACTTCTGGTCAGCGCAGCTGCCAACTTGGTATCCAACGTTGTGAACTTCCCAGGGTTAGACAACCGCTCTTCCAGAACTTTCCTTTCATCAACAGTGTTGTAAACCTCCATTAACCAGTCCCAGGCGGCATCTGGTTTGTCAGAACATGACTTGATTTCGTCCCTCACATGATGTTTCCACTGCCTATAGGTTTCAGGGGTTGGCATGTCATTCAACTTGATGTGATCTGCCTCCTTTACCTTTGGCTTCTCATCTGACTCTCTTTGAGTGAGTGACTTGACCAATTCGATCACCTGCTCAGAGGTGATGGCACCTGATGACGCTGGCTTATGGGGTTCGCGAATTGAAGGTGCAGGGCTATGGAACATATGTGTCGGTGTTTTGCCCCCATCCGCTGCTGTACCTCCGTAAACTGGAAGCACGGGCTTGATAGGAGCAGCTGCCCCTGGTGGGGCATCACCGATGATGGTGGCCGTCGGCGCTTTGGGTGCGAACAGTCCACTCAAACGTGCAGTAGCCTCTGCTGCAATGGTCTCCAGAGGATTTTTCTTCTTAGTGTCATCATGCCTAGGGGTAGACACTGGTGTGTTCATGACACTTGTTGGACGGTACTCTAGCTCGGGTTCTGCATGCACTTTGGCTTTAAGGTCATCGAGCATTTGCTGCAGGCTATAGTTTTCATTTTCTGCGTCGTGTAGCTCACGTCGAAGCTGAGTTTCCCGCTCATCAAACTCTGCACGAAGCGTTGCCACACCTTGCTCGGCACCGCTGGTGATGGCAGTGACAGTTTGCTGACAATCGTGCATGAGCTGGATGCGCAAGGAGTCCAGTTCTGCTTTTCTGGCTTCAGCCTCAATGGACCTTTCACTCTCTAGCTTTAGGATCCGCGCTTTTGCAGCGCTAAGTTCCCCTTGCACTTGGTTGTAGCTAGATTGAGCTTGCTGCCTCACCGAACTGAGTTCCTCATGATGCTTGCTCGCTACTTCATCGATTGCTTGACGAAACTTGGTTTTTACCGTTTCCAACCATTGTCCCATTATCTCTTTGTGCCTTCTCTCTGCCTCAGCAATGATAGCATCTTCATTTCCGTTGTACACTTGTTGAATGTTTTGCTGCACAAACTGAAAGTAAGCTGACAGGGGCTGAACCCATGGGGTCATCTAGATCCACTGTGGGCTCAGTCATGAGACCGGCTGGGACTGCTACCGATGATGCACCGTTCCCAGGAATAGCAAGAGCGTCCATGGCTGCGGTTAGAGCACTACGGCTGATAACCTATAGAAACAGCCGTTAAGCTGCAACTCCTGTTTTGGGCCGCGAGCTGCGAAGTCAAGGTGACATGACATCCTACTATGTGCAAGGTACAAAGCGTACATATTACATGGAGTGAAAATACAGAAACCAGTTTCAATGGTAAAACAAAATCAGCCATCCTAAGGCGCGAGCAAAAGCCACTGCTCTTTCTGGAGACAATGCCCTCCTTGTGTTTGTACACGCAGTTGGCACCTCAGAACCATGTCAAATCTCAGATTCCGGTGTGGGAGTCCTGGCAACACTGCGCACCTCTTGATGGGAAGGTGCCCCTGGCCTCCCCTAAGATATCCCATTGCCCGAGTGTGGAAAGTGACAGGTTCAATAAGGCCACTTTCTTGTGCAGCCACGTCAACTCAATTCTCTTGGCATAAATTATGACGCAAGTTCCTGGTGGAATGAAAGAACCAACATCTCCCTTACCTGGATTTGACTGGACACATTGGAGAATCTCGGCCCAACTCAAAAAGGATTGAATGGATTGTGCACTTGAAGAACACTCCCTCAGCCCATCGCATCGCTTTTATAGCTTTTGCTTCCTGCGAAAGCCAGCCCTTTTCTGACGTCGTGGCCCCGCGCCCAAGTAGGGGTTCGGAATTCGCTTCAAAGGCATCAGCAGCATCTGTTCCAAACCTGGGGACGCTAGGCCGCAACGAGTGCCTGAAACAATCTCTCCATTAGGATTCCCAGTGATCCGGAACGTTTCCGGCACAATTCCTCATATGCTGCGATGTGTAGATTTCTTTCTCCATTTCATGTTGTGCACAGCTCTGAATTTTGCTTCGCAAATTTAACGGGAGCAAGGTTGGTCCGCGTATGTTTGGACATGCAATTGAAACATGTCACATGATGCAGCAAATGCATAGGTGCACATTAAGCAGTACTTGCATCATAGAAAATACTGATATTGCTTGCTCATAGATGACGGCATGCATAAACGGAAGTTCCTTCCTGCACTTTTTTGCTTCAACCATCTGGAAACCAAATCATTAGTGCGAGCGGGGGGGGGAGCTTCCTTGAAGGAGCGTGAGCTATTTATCCTGCATCCATAGCTTAAGTCGCCAGGAGCTGGTTTAGTCCCTTATTTAATTAAGTAAGTAGGCGCCTACTAAGGGCGGCTAAAAGAAAAGAAGCGAAAACCACAAACAAAACAAATCCCGAACACGCCGCTGGACCATAGCGGGTGGCCCGAGGCTGTGGCCCTTCTTGAGGGACCACTGCAGGACGTTCCCGTCACTGCTCACTGACACCAGCAGCTCGGGAGGCCTCATTGTGGCGGCGAGATCGGCGCACGTGCTGAGAGATGTGATGGTGAGGAGCCAGGAGACAGGAGGTAAAATCTGAAATCAGCTCACTATCTAGTGCTAATTGATGCCTTCTGCATGCCACAGCGCTACATAACCATTTACCATTGGTTCAATGTTCACAAATGTTCGTAGCCCACCTTGCAAGCAACTTGCACAAGCCCGTTTTTCGATCGCACATTTTCCTCGCAGCAGTAGTCCCGTCGGGCTTTCGGCCACCTCGGCACAGGAAGTGTTGTGGAGGCCCGTTCTCACAAATATCAATTGCGTTGTCATTGCTGACCTGCTTGCTGTTTCAGCACAAACTTGGGTAAGGATATGGCAACAAAAACAGACTGCAGTGGACAGCAAATGCCCTCACACGCTGGCTGGACACTAACAGTAATAGTTTTTTGACCTCAATATGGTTAACCACTCGCCTCGCTTGGCCTGCTTATCGCACGAAGGTGCTGGCTCGCTTGGCCTGGCAATTGGAAAACTGCCCAGTCAAACTGATCCCCACCGTGCTGAAAAGAATATGGTTTACATCGTTTTACAATTTTTATTGTCTGGGTCTTGGGCCAAATGACATGCACTCCGAGTCATCCATGTCAGGAGCTCGTTTTCTCGCATACTCGTCGAAACAGCCAAGACAAGATGACACATACCCAAGTTTTCCGAGGTCATATGGAAACTATATAATCATGGAATACACGTGATGTACTATACTCAAAAAACACATCAATCTATATATACTGTATGTATGTATATATATATATTATATTGATATAGACATACAAGCGTTAACATTCAAAATAACATAACGCGGAAAATCAATGATCCCAGAACCATCTTCACTACACAGCCTTCAACATCCTCAACATAACAACATCATTTCTTGGATGCCTGGCTCCGCCAAACTACAGTATGGAGTCCCGCTTCATGAGTGACTCCGAGTGGGGAACACCCATGGGCCCGCACGGGCCTTGAAGGTCGTGCGAAGCTTCTTGATGGTGTGAGGAACCTTCCTGGGGGGGAGGCATAAAAAATGGTGGCGCTGGCGAGCTGCCCGTCACCAAACAAAAGAGCCACTCGATTGATGCAAATAGTTCCAGCTCCTCTTATGCTTGCTCAATGAGAATCTCCAATAACAACTGTCACTGTCACTTGTTTCCAAACATGCTTTCGCACTTCTGTGCATCCATCTCCCAATCTGAGCGATCAGCCGGACGATGGGGAACTTCAGCCGGTCGCCATGCATCCTCAGCTGCTCTGGTCGGCGAAATGAACAAACTACAGCCAAAACCTGGACTTGGAGCCTTCGTGCTAACTGATTGAGAGGGAATACACTCGCACACACAGTCACACATAAATAGACATTAATATACATATATTGTTTCTATACTGTAAATTACTTCAATATACTGTAAATACAGTTACTAAAGCATACTCACAGCAAAAAGCTCACATCACAAACCAGCATGTACTGTACACTGATTGTCGCGGCTGGATCACATTCTAATGTTTCAAGTCTTCGACCTTCTTGGTCTAGAGATGTCTAGAGTCTAGGTCATTTTCAAAGTTTCTCACAGAAAAAAAAACAGATACAATACAAAAGCATCCTGCATCCGCATAGTTTTCTGGGCCCAAGCCTTGAGCCTTTGTAGGCCGACGCCTTTTCCGCAAACACGCATGCAGCAAATGCATGGAAGCGTCTCCAGGACATGCTCTCGGCGACAGTTCGCGTCCGGCACCGTTGCAGCCTGGTTGCGTCCACTAGGGCGGGATCCATGGGTTGCTAAGACATGAAGTTGCCAAGACATGAAGCCCATAAGCCAAAGTATGGAAGACAGGCACCTGACACATGGTTAAATTTGGTCAAAGTTTAGCTCAACAATCAGGGCACGACACAATGAACACATGCACACATGAGGTTTCAGTACTTGTAGTACTTGAATTACTTGAGGTCATTAAATTGATGTACTTTTACCAAATGCAAACACAGTCTCGACAAACCCGAAGCAAAGTCAAAGACATCCTTGCTTGCACAAACACCACACCGGCAGCCGGTTCTTCTCAGGCGCCAACGTGAATGATCTGAATGGATCCAGGGTCAGCACCTGGGATCGGCGAAATCTCCCGCAAAGCCGCAAGGCAGGCTGCTGAAAAATATGCTGATCTTGCATAGTGCTCAGTTGGTTGACCCAATCACATCACTTGATACGTCTTGACCTGAAATATCATTGTATAAATGTTGAGCTCGCCTAGTGTGTGGCTGGAACATGCGTAACCATAGTACAAATGTTCAACAAACCCTGCCCGGTCTTCATACACGGCACGGTGACGGCCGGCCATCTCCTGCGGCGATATTCATCGTGGAAGCCATAAGACGTGTTTGTTGCACAGGACTCCACAGGACCTCCGAGTAACCTCACTTTGGGATCAGTCCAGACTTGGCATCCTCATGGGGAGTGTCATGCAATCACCAAACTTGTTCAATTAATTAAGTTTCAATTAATTACATCAGTGTACTGTATATTTCTCTCACATTCACACGGCTCACCCTAGAGATCTTGGAACATCTCCTGGTACAGCTGTCCGACGGCCCCGTTGATGTTGATGTTCCGATACTCCTGGCAACACGGATCACGAAGGGGAATCTAGAAACGAGCAAGACTTGTCCAAACCTCTCTGCTCAGATATTTCATTCTGGATGACATGTGCACTTGCAAAAAGTCAGCAGGAAACCGACCTCTTCGACTGCAGATCTTGAAACCCAAACTCTGCTCAACAAGGCTGCTTCAGGTGAGGTGCCTTGTACATGTTGTGCGTGTTGGTTCCTGTGCGATGTGTCATTGACTTCAACTTGCGGGAGAATTGCCAGGCCCACCTGCTGTTTCTAGAACGTGTTTCATCTGATTCCAAAATCCACTGGTAGATGTGCACGAGCTGAGGTAGACTAGCCCTTCAAAGAGTACCACATCGTAATCTCAGCGGTAAGTTGCGGGATCAATACTTATCCACTTGAGCAGGCACAACTGAGCCCCCAGCGGCTGTCGTAGCGAAGCCAAATACCATAGTTCTTCACCTGCAATTCGCAAACCGATTGGGATCTTGATGGGGCTTCACTCAAACCATTCAATAGCAGCATACCATTCCATAGCCATACCCAATGGAACTCAAGAACCAAAGGACAATGGCCTGGAACTTCGGGAAGTGACCGGAATAGTTACGAGTACACTTATATACAGTAGGTCAATTGGAAGGGGGAGAAAGAAACGACTCCCAATATACTCCTATGACTCAAGGCATCAGCACCCCCACGGAAGATTGGCATCCACTTGAGGACATCCAGCCATCATCGGATTCTATACATTGTTGTTGGCTCTCTCGCGCCTTCGTTGGGCTTGTGTCGTGCAGTTCGTTCACAGCCTGGGGTAGGCCGTATACTCGCAAGGCTGGGCCGTTAGCTTCATCCAATGTTGATGCCACATGCTCTATCATATCAAAGGGTTTTCCCAAACCAACTGCAATACTATGACTCTGATTATGATTTTACTCTTGGGCTTCGGAACCATGCCCACTCACAATCACAGAAAAGGCACACATTTGGCTTGTTCGTTGCATTTTTAAAGATATTCAGCTCATATGTATCTCTTCCCCTGGCGTGTTCAACAGAATTTGGCTTGATACAGTAGGCTGTATTAAGAAGAACCAAAAAGTGAACCGTCCACCAAAGGGTTTGCACAACACCCCAACGGTATTCACGCATGGCCTTTTTGTCTCAAGGCCTGTGCATACTCCGTACTCCTCTTCCGCGGCGGAAGCGGGAAGACTCGCCCTCGTAGCTTGAGCGGCGCTTGGCGCTGCTGCTCAGCCACAGCTTCCTGGGATTGATGATTGGGCCAAGCAAATCTGCAAAAGAAGCTCAATAGCCCAGGGAGTCCATGTCCGTTATATGTTCATATGCAATTAGTTTTCCCCCTAAAAAAGAAGCTTGTAAGAACTATCGATGGAACAGCCCCTCGAAATGTATTGGTGCGTGGACCCCCTGGAGTATTATCAGAGCATCCCGAAGATTCGCCAAAGCCCACCCATTTACCACAAAGTCAGCTGGAATTGGAAATCTGGCCTGGTTCCTGACCCAAGACCTTGATTTCTTCCTTGTTTGTTGGAGAGCCAAGATTGACATAAAATGAGCAAAGCTTGCAAAGGCACACCAGCCAAACCAGCTCCAGGCATCAGCGCCCTGCTGCACTAGCTCCTCCTGCGTCCAAGGCCGGCAACCTTCGGTCTCCCGCAACTGCTTCCACGCCATGTCCAAACACGAGCGCTCGGAAATGGGGTCGTTGGACAGGCGACCGCTTCCTGGCAAAAACCGGGACATAGCAGGGTAGCAACACCTGTGAACACCAGTGCAACACATGCATTGGCTGGTGTGAAGCAGCACGAACAACATCGAAACAGCAGCTGAAACTTGTACTATACACACACATATATATATATATATTTGCTGCCCCCCGGCCCCCCCACCAATACACACCTTTTGCGATACATTCCAATTCATTTAGTAGTATCTATCAACTGCAATATGCAATTGCAAATATAGTAATTAATGGATATAATTGATCATGTGAATTTCAAAATTGTCAACTCAATTTGTTACATTGGACTTGCAATTCAAAGTATGAATCTCATGGTGCACAAGTGTGAAGACCCCACGAAAAGAAACATAACAATTTACAGAAGACATTGTGTACATGACAGTGAACAATATTATATATGAGCACTCCAATTCATACAGTCAGTTGCACCCAGTGCAAATGCACGCATGATAATTGATGAATACAACTGATTATATGAGTTGTTAGTTTTTGTTACACTGTGACATTACATTTAAACAACTCAAATTTGGAATTTAAGATTCTATATTTGTGACAGTCACGAACATTGGGTTTACGCAACCGGAACATTGACCTGCATGCTTTATAATTGTGAATATCACAGGGTAACACATAAATTTACAGAACTGTTTGCGCGCATGACAATTGATATCATATCAATATTCCAGTCTGATATGATTGTATAAAATGATTTGGTTTGCCCATCACTCAAGTCAAATCGTCTTCATGGATCGTGAAGGCATCACTCTTCACTGAATAGGCCTTAATATCATTTTCTGAAAGTTCATTATATGCTTCATACATTTCAAAGTTATGATATTGAAATAGCAACCCTTTTATATCTCTAAGCCCATTGACTAATATATTTGTGGTGTTTAAGATGTAATAGGTATTGCATGGTTGTTTCTTCCTATTTTTCTATTTCTTGTTGTATGGCATAAATCCTTCCTCCAAACTCACCCTGGCAACGGCATGCCTCCCTCAAACTGTTAAAACAGTAACTCTTCTGTGCGGTGTTGTGTGATTTTTATAGCATTCCACAGGTGATGTCTCCTAGTTTTTTTTGTCATCTTTAGTAAGATCGGTTTTCCATAGTTCATTAACAAGCTGGTCATAATTGACCTTGTGAATGCATGAAGGAGTTTTATAACAAACAAAATCATTGTTTGCTTGCAGTAGTTTTCTTAAAAACTTTCCATATATCAAGTTATACCTCTTATTGAGAAAACATTTGATGCCTTCACTTCCACTGTATACAATGTAAAACTAGATAACTTGCTAATGTCAATGTCGTCACTGTAATGTTTCCAACTATAGAAACCCGGTATGAATTTAATCTGTGCAAATGCCCATGTAAAGACTTTAGTCCTGTCAATCTCTCAGTTTTGGTGTATCAATGTTTTTATCAACATATTCTGATGGGACTATAGTCCTACAATGTTTTTATCAAAATAACCTGATGGGACTATATTCCTACATTCATCCAATATTGCATTTGTAAAGAATGTCCTTCCGGACCCATGGTAGCTGTGAACAAAGGATGCAAATGTTGTGGTGTGACGAAAGTCTTCCGAAATCTGCAGAAATCTTAAGAACTCTTAAGATTTTCCTGGAACCAAGAAACCAAGAACCAATATTGCACAGAAGTCTTGGTTCTGATGAGAAGGTTTTCTTGGAACCGAGAACCAAGATTATCCCCAAAACTTCTGAACAATCTTAGTTCTTGGTTTCTTGGTTTGAGGGAAATCTTAAGATTTCTTAAGATGTATGCAGATCTTTTAATAATGTCTTTGTTTGCTTCTTGTTCTCAGATGCAATCTTCACCTGAGGACATGTATATATATATATATGGTACTCCCCTTTCAATTAACTGATAGATTATCATCCCCAAACATGGTACCACCCCTCCAGAAAGTGTTCCAAACAATCATGTGAAAAAAAAGATCTCAAAATATCACTCAAAAAATGAGTCCAACATATCACTAAAACACTATAGTTTGCAGTATAGAACACACAAAGGGTGTGTATTGGAGGGGGGGTACCATATATTTAGATTCTCGCGTTATTATAGTGTATATATATATACAATATAAATATTATGCCCACTTCTTGGGAGAACATGTCGATCAAAATTCCTTTCTGGGCTGGGCCTTCAAAAGTTGCGGCAGCCACATCCAAGCCCGGCTCATGCCGGAAGGGCCTTGTGACCAACCCGCCCTTGCCATCGGTCCACCAGCCTTGCCGGACACCATGTTTCATGAGCAATTGCATGCATCCCCGTGAGCAGGGCTCTGCCCAAGCGAAGCCGGGACCTACATCAGCCAGCTCCACAATGAGAATTTCAGTGTGCGAGGACTTCCTCATCCGATTGCCCATGATCGGCCACTTTAAAGTCTAGTTGCAATTCCCCGTGGTAAAGACAAGCTAAACAACAAACATCACAGCAAACAACAAGTCATCACCAACTTCTTGTGTCTCAAACGGGATTTTGGGGTGATGCCAAGTTCAAGCTTCCGAATGCAGTGCATCTCCCCCCCAAAAACTCAAACCTTTTGAAGCAAACACTGACCAAACACCAAGCTTCAATGACTCCAGTTGTGGTACCTGCAACAAGCAATGCACTTCTGCATGTCTCTGCGCTGGCCGCGGTCGGCTGCGCTTCCACGAGAGCTTCGCCACTGTCCGGGCCTCCTCGGGCGAGTCGAAGGTGCGGTGCCGTCCCAGTTGAGGGTCAAGGCCACGGGGGCGTAACGGAGGAGCGCAGTGGTTAAAGCCTTCAGCAATGACCTGGCCGGAACCAAGAGAGATTGAAGTATCTATATATATATAGTCTATATGTGTGTAATCTTACAGAACGAACCTTAATAGACCCCATAAACAACTCTTCAAGCTCTGTTGAAATCACATGGCAACCATCTGGCGCTTCAGGAGACATTGATCATTTTGAGAATGAACAATGGTCCAGTGGACAGGGTTCATCCAACGTGATCAAGCGCCTCTTGGTGCTTGGACTCTCCGTTTGCAAACCGACACTCATTCACAAATACAAGAAGTTCACTGCCTTGTTGGGTCATTTTACATGTTCCGCCTTTTAGGTTACAAACTTGAGGGTCCGGTACAGTATGTTGAGGTATGTATGTCTCCAGGTTTGAAGTTCGTTGAAGGCTTTTGTTCTTTTTCATTTGGCAGGCCTGGCCCTCCGACAGCAGTAGGGCTCCATGTCTTCGAAGGAGGACGCCAGCCTTCTCCCCCAAGCAGGCCAAGGACGCAGCACGTTGAACATGTTGGCACCAGTGGTTTGAACTGTTCCGTGTGTCCAGTGAGACCAGCCCACGGGCCTCCAGATCTGCCAGGAATGCCGGTTGCAGCACCAAGCGCAGGTCTGTGGTTTGAGAAAGAATGACCTCGAGGGATCTTCGTAAAGCCCGGCGGTCGCCCAATTCCAAGGAGACTGAGACATGCAACACCGCGCCTTCCAAGTCTTCAACGCCAAGTGATTCCCAGCTTTCAGAGGCCATCTTCAGCCGATCTGCTCGTGCATTCTGCGCATCCTCAAGCCATGCTGGGATGAGTTGCGTCGCCAAGAGTGACAAAGACTTCTCGAAGACCTGATCCTCTGGAAGATTCAAGTCCCCCCGTTGCCGTATCAACTCCTCTGCAGCCTCTTCATCACTGGGACAGCGCCAGCGCAAAGAGCGTTTCACTAAGGGTTCAGCAAATCTGTAGAGTTCTTCCTCTGACAACTGGAGACCACGGTGATGCTGCAAGCGCCCCAGCACACCCAGTGCCTCATCAGCAAACATTGCATTTTCTCGAATCAACGCAGCTCGAAGTAGGCCACGTGCTCTCGCCAACAAAGGTTTGCTGGACACATCTTGCTTCGGTGTGCTGCGTATCTGGTCAAGAACCTTCTGCAACTCACGGTTGCTGACTTTCGGATGGCCACTTTGTCTGCTTGCGGCACCTGGGCTCTGGCTCACTCACTCCAAGAGATCAAAGTGCATGTAAAGCAAACGGATTGTGTAATTATATATAGTGTTCACATCACAATGGCAAACCCCGAGTCAAATATATATATATATATATAAGTAAAGATCTCCTGGCTAGCGAAACCATGCGCAATAATAAGCTGCTGTCAATGAAAGCACTCTTTTTTAAGGTTGAAAATAGAGAGCGGGTCAATTATAAAGCGATAAATTGAATACTGGCAAATCTTGCAAAAAATACCGCCAATACAATTATCAGCTTGACTTATTCCTCTACAACAACAAACCTGCTTATCTAGCAGGTTGCAATAAAACACGCAAATCGTTCTGCCCTACAACAACAAGCCAATTTTAAACCTCGTAGATAGTAGTTGATTAATTAATAACGTTTAAAACGAACCATTTACATCGTTCAGCAAAATCAGGATTTAAACCAGCTCCAAAAAAGCAATTTTCTTCATAACATCATTCTTCAAACAATCAAAAGAAGTATTTATTGGCAAAGAGTACCCCTTACGAAGACCCAACGCACAATTATAAACACCTGAAAAAAGAAATAACATCCTGTCAAAAGGTTTGCAATAATCAACTTAGCTAACTCCTCTACAATAAAACCTGCTTTTGAGTTTATGTGGCGTAATTTGATGTACAGTAATTCCTAGGCATCAACAATAAACTTGACTTACAGTCAGTACTTCTCTACAATGAAACACCCGTTTCCAGATTGAATTACTGCAAGAATTGCCGTATATTCTTGACCAATAGAAAAACAATAGGCAACAGCTCTCATAGTCCTAAGGTCTGAGGTTTATTATGGCGATCTTATTGCCACAAATGTTTGCTTGTCGCAAATGTTTCACTAGGGAAGTTTATTATTGCGATGTGAACATTATATGCAGAAAAAAAATGCAAATGGCGTATGCAGTGCAGGTGTCATTCCCCTTGAACAACTAAATGAGTACTCTTGTTACATACCTAAGGACCTATGCTGACCCCCTCAGTTGCCCTGGAAATGCAGGTGAACCTTCCCCCCCCCTGTCGTTTTGGTGGTGAAACCAATCCCGATCCCCCAAAAGGTTGAACGCTATCCACAGGCTCGGTAGGTATGAGATTGGAACTGCGAGCAAGCAAGAAATATAAAAGCACTGAATCAACACATCCAACCCACTGGAACATGGCCATCCTTCCAGTTCTTGTCCCACCAGTCCGCGGCGTTCTCGCCACGACTCTGCTTCGCCTCTTGTCAATGTGCGTGCACGCGCACTGCGCACACAAACACCAGCGCCTGCTGCAAACCACATGCCCAAGCGGCCCAAGCTCAGCGGCCGATCGGGTCGTCTGCCAGCGACCGGCCGGGGCCAACACCGCCAGGGCACACAGGCAGCCCCAAAGGCCAAAGCTGTTAGCATGAGATCAATTCCAATCGCTATGCCACGAACTCATTGAAGGAAAATGCGTCCATAGAGTCTCTGGAGGGCTCAGAATCTTGTGGGGCATCCAAGAAGGTTTCAGTGTTCCACCGATACTAAGAGCAACTCAAACATAACATGACCCTATCATTGTCATCATGACATGTCATTACCCTTAGGCCTTAGGCCTTAGGGCAAAAATTATAGCTGATGAGGCCTGAAACCACTGTGGAACACGGTCTGCTGATCTTTCACATGCTTTGGACTTTTGAAAAGCTTCGATCTAGAATGTGGTGTTCCTTGCATACCCGTCAAAACCCGTGGCTCAAATCCCAAGTGGTAATTTACACAAGGCTTGCCAAACGTGGCCTTTGGATGTTTTTGGGATGTGAGCCAGGTGCCCTGACGGAGGCATATCCTAAGGTGCGCTGCAGAACGTAAATGGTTCAGGTGAAGTAAGAAAGCAGAAGAGGCGTGGCCAGGATTGTCCTTCAAACTGCTCTAGTGAATGGGGGATTCAAATCGTGGTGTGGTCCGCCCATGTTCACGCCACACCTCCACTGGCGGAAATTAATCAGTGCTCCGCTCAATTTGAGCGCAAAAGCTGCAATTGAAGGATTGATGATTGATGCACGAGCCTCTGGAACTGAAGATGTTCCAGCACTTCATCCAAGAACCTCTATATAGATCTCTATAGGGATACACAATCAACATTACCACCCTCATCCAGCATGTCAGGCAAAACACAGCCCAGCAAACTGGCCACAAAGAAAGGCCGCAAGTGACCTGCCGTCATCCTGCGTTAATTGGGACAAGCTCAAGATGGCCATAGCAAGGTGGGGCACAAGAGTCGGACATCTTCACCCAAAGATTCTGTCTCTAAAGGAGACCTGGGGATTTGAGATCCTTTCTTCATGCAAATCTGCCAGCAACGTCCTTCAGTGCTCTTTTTCTGTTGAGCCTCTAGTCACACACAAACACAGAAGAGTTTGTCCCCAAGTAGCTTGATTCCACAGGCTTGACAAATTGCACAGTGGTGTAGCATGGGAAACCGCAAACGTGTAGAAATGCACCAGGGAAGACCAGCCCAAACTAAGAAAAAGGTCTCAGCACTCAACATGCCAAAACATCACTAACATCATTTCCAGTTGCATGCCAGGGCTGGGAAGTGCATGGGGGGATGTAAACTCCCTCAAAACACTTAGCGGTATGTATGGAAGTTGGCCCGAACCCGTTTGACTTCGGATTGCTTCGCACGAACGCTTAGGGTTACGTCGCAAAGTCTTTTCTCAAGATCCAACACGATCCACCCCAAGCTGAGAGCTCGCACCAGCAACTCGCCACCACTTTTCTTCGCCTGTCACTTGGAGGGGTTCCACAGCTCCTTGGGGTTGACGAGGTTGGTCCAGCCGGTTTGGGAAACAGCTGAGGCTTCTGGGGCACTCGGGCAAAAGGGGTGTCACAAAAATTGCTTCTGAATTTTACGCAGGGCACAGCTGCCGTACAGTTCTCTAATGGATTACCTTACGACAGGGAAACGTGAAACCCTGTGGCAAGACTCTGCATGCCGTTCAAATTCGGTCGGCTTTCTGAAGTTTTTCTGAAGTTCGCGTCTGAAGTTGAAGTCGACCCACTCTACACTTCAAGTGTCCACGGTCCACAGATGGAGGGCCTTGTTCAACCTCTTCATGAAATACCAAAAGCGGCTCTTTGCCAAAACCACGTTCCTCGCAAAGATTCGCATGCGGTAGATCCTGAGATGCGACGGACGGGGGCAGAATTGGAGGGTGCTTGGATGACTAGACAGTGAAGCGGTACCCAGCAAATCGATTTGGTTTGGATGGGGTTCTACATGTTCCAAGTTCACCCAGCAAAGTCCACTCACCATCACTCACCACATTGAGTTGAAGAGTTCGTGAGTTCGTTGGGACTTTTCCTCACCCGACTGCCCTACAGGTCTTGGAAGGTGTAGCTCCACCCAAAATGCTGGTGACGCATGGCGACACAGGTCACATACCTTACGCCTTACGTGCCTCTGGGCACCCGCTCTTGGGAGTTGGATTCTTGTTGGTGGGCGCTGCACGGCCCACAATCTGGTACTGATGCATCTTGGCCTGCGGGGCGTGGCAAGGGCCCCCCCAAACCTCTGGTCCATGCAGCTTCAGAACCCCTCATACCAACGGAAGCATCGGCGTGAAAGTCTGTTTTCTCTCTTGGACTGGTCCGCCGGAGATGAACTACACGGCCAAAACGGCCTGACTTGCGTACCACTATTGCTGGCATGAGCACTCCGTGCCAAAAATATCTGAGGCCCTTGCCACATGGTCGACAACTTTGAGACTTCTGTGAGGATCAACACAGTACATTCAACTGATGGCACAGTCTTCAGAATACATTAACTTAAACATTTGACAACGAGGCGAAACCGACATAAACCGACTTCAAGGAGAAGCCACAGTTTGCCATTTCCCGGTTAGGGCACTTCGCAGCAACCAAACAGTGACTTTGATACTGGAGAAGCGATGAACTTCAGCAATACATTTTCATATCTAAACTTGTGGTACAGTAAACATCAGTAAACCAACTGCAGTGAGAAGTTGACAAGGTTGACAAGAGATGAACTTCGATCATTGGACTTCCGTAGACTTTTGCGGTGTCTCTTTGCCCGGTCCCACGAAGCTCATAGCCAGCCTCCAGGGATGGGTCGATGGTGAACCTTGCTTAGTGAACCCACTGCAGCAGCTGAGTCCGATCCAATTTCTCAGTGAATGGCTATAGTGAGCCTCAGATTGATACACAAGCGAATCCCCTCCAAGCAGGTCATGTATCACAAAAACTGTGTTGCAAATGATTCGGGAGTCAATGCCGTCAAGTCGAAGAGCCTCTCCCAAGCCACGATATCTGGGGCCTGGACTTGCCCATGGTCTTCGGAAGTGTCTTGAGCGATTGTCTACCCACTTTGAGCCGCGAGAAAAAAACACCCCCTGCGGCGGCCGGGGGGCTCATATCGTAATGCCAACAACTCAATTGGAATGATCATTGCTCAAACCTATGTTACTACCCCTATAATATATATTATACATGATACGACAAGCTGTCATGCTACTAACCCTCAAGAACAGCAGGCAGACTCACACAAAAATAACTGGCCAACTGATTGTGCCACCGTCTTCGTCTAAAAACTCCCAGTACTACTCCCGGTCTGCAGGGGACTCTATTTTGGGGTACGTGCAAGCCGAGCGGTCTCAGGACCAGCCCGCTTCCTTTTGCTGGCGCTAGTTTGGGGCGCATTGTAATTTGCTGTCGGGGTGAAGCCATCCCCTGTCTCAATCGTAGGAAGGTCTTGACGATTTGTGATTTGGTGCGTCACTTGCTTGAGGTCGGGACTGCTTGTCTGGACCTTGGTCAACCCATCTCGTCTCCCAAACGATGTCTGTGTGCTTCTGGTCGTTGTGTGAAGACCTGCCCAGAGTTGCCATCGAAAGGCTAACAAATTGTGGGTGTTTGCTGGGAGGCTGAGTAACATATGGGCAAATGACCTCAAGCTCTGCCGAGGCGGAACTACGTAAACAGTGGAAATCCTCCTCGCCAGAAAAGTGTTGACTGTATGAATGTGTCGCAAAAATCATGTGTACTGTCATGTGTTCTACAAGACCGAAACAAATGAGCTTCCCCTTCCTCTTCACATGATTTATATATATACAGTATATACAATGAGCCTTCGGGATCCTTCCGGGTTCTTTTCAATTCGTGTTCACAGATGTGGATTGGTATGAAAATCATAACGGGGTCTCCGTATCAATGGGCTTCTATTTTGACTCTTCCCGTGGGTCAACCCGGAAGTCTCTACTTATGTTCACTGTCTCACGAACTGATGCTCAGCAAGTGCAGAGTGACCAGAGTCCAGGCCTCGCTACTGCAAATGCACTTGTTTCCCAGGCCCATGGCACATCCACTTCAGCTCCCATATCTTCCCTTCCCCTCCAAGGCACACAGAGGAGCCACTTCGCAGCACTGGAGCATCTGAAGGCCGCCGAAGATCCCAAATCATGACCTTGGCAGTCGGCAGGCGCGGTCGCGCAATCACAAGCGAACTTCTCCAAATGAGAGTGCAAGAGAGATGGATTCAGGTACCGATCCAGGTATGTCCACTCTCAAATGTGTGGAAATTGTTTCCTTCTATATTTCATTTCTTGTCTTCTATTGGAGGTCAAGGCAGTCAGGGTTGACAAATGCTCATACTGGGAGCCACTGGTGCTGCAAGGGTGCTTGGGTTCTACCGGGGCATGTTTAGATTAACCCTTTGAATCCTTAGAACTGGTCTGACAGCTCTGGGGCATGCTAGGCAAAAGGCATCCTGGCCGTTGTGAACTACAGGGATGCGGAGTGATGCGGAGTTATATCCCCTAAACCTAGCTGTGGTATATGAGTCCTGCATCTGTAGAAAAAAACGCCATAAGGTTGCTGAAGCTGCTTCTCACCGATTTGCTCCAGAAAGCAGCGTTGCAAACCAGCATCACGTTGCTGAAATTGCTTGTTTTGCTCAATTGATCGTGATTCGTTTATGAGAGAATTTTGGTGCCTAGTGCCTGGCATTCTCCTTCAAACCCTCCCTGGGGCTGCATGCCGAGCCATCATGAGTGCCAGCTGCCACCATGTTCCTAGGCGGCAGGCTTTCCCAATTGGCCCTCAATCCTGGATCACTTAAACATACAGTAGAATCTCTTGAAAGTCTGTTCTGGTCATATGACTATGGTGGACTGCGGTCTGAAGAAAGCATCCGGATGCAATGAGAATGCAAAAACCTGGCAGCCAGCCTCTGCAAACCTGTGAGGTATTGTTTTCGTCTGGGGCTGCTCTTTTTTGAATGCTGAACAGTCCAAGGTTCGGATGAATAGAGGAGAAGTGCAAGGCAGTCACCTCATTCAGGCAAAGTTCACTGCCGTGCTCATCTCAGCCCTCCGTGATATATATATATATATACAACTTCATTCACAAAC